CTGTAAGAAGCCGACATCCAGGGGCAATCAGTCAATTGCGCGTCAGTGATGGTCTAGGGTCCATTCGTATCGTTTATTCGATAAGCCAGTAAAAACCGTAGACTTCTCTAAATGCATTTTTAATATCACAATTACATTCCGAATTGCTAGCCACGATATAAGGGCTACAATTAAAAATAAAATAATAAAAACTTACTTGGTGAAATAAAATGTGTGGTGATGTACCGGTACATACCTGGTACAAAATATTCTTCAATTGTATGAATATACTTTTAAACAAAATCATAATTAAATATAGCTTTGTAAAGAAACGCACATAAAAATATAAAATATTATTTACTTTTTAAATCTTAAAACAATACACTTAGTCAAATAGCTCCCTACGAGTGGCTAATGGATGGAATTGTTTGTTTGGTTATGGCAACGCAACTCTTGTGTGATCTGCCTAGAGGGATGCCTTCCGGGAGGTCTTTTAAGTGAAATTGGCCCCTATTTAGGCGTTACGGACGTGGAGAAAACCCGGAAACTCCACGTGGCCAGCCCGTCCGAGCGAGGCGTGAACCCACGACTGAACTCCCAGTGTTCAAGGTATGAAGACCGCTCGACCACTGGTGGGCTGGATGGAATCGAAGACGGATGCAGAGCGTGCATACACGTGGACTGCCAAATCCCCAGGGTACTGATACCGGTCAATGTCAAATACCTCTTGTCGCATCACTAGTATATATCAAAGGACGCGACAGGGCTGTTGTAGATTTTAAACGTTTCTCACCATAGCTGTAAAAATCTAAATTTGTTAAACTTAATAGTCATTTGTTTTCTAACTAATTCGTTTTAGGACCAAGTGCCCTCAGAAATTTCCAAAATTTACAACTTTTCGGTCACTCTCGTTGAACTGGAAAAATGTTTGTCTTTATTACATTAATAATACAAAGAAATCAGTCTTCACTGTACTCTGTTAGAGATGGTTCGGTTAAGCTTTTGTTTAAGTAAAATTTCGGCTCTTTAATTAATCAGAGTTTTATTTATGTCTCCAATTCCCCAATCGCTTAATTATTTAACTACCTCTTAAATAAGTCGAAACCGGTTACTTTGTACTCGAATATTTGTAGTCTCGGGAAAAAGTGGAAAGACAAATTTTTATGACAAACGGATATATAAATCGCAAATTTAAGGAAAATAAATTCTAGAGCTTTTTCTGTACCTCGTGCATCTCTCTCATTCATTAAATTTAGTTGTAAATGATGCTACCAAAGTAACAGTTAATTTTTTAACATTGTACATGAATTGTACACGTTTTTTTCTACATCCCCTTATAGATGGGACATACTAAATCGTAATATCACTGGTTTAACATTGAAATCCATGAGTAATATAAAATCGGAGAGCGGAATAAAAATATCAAATATTTTTTCTTTAACTCCTGTCAACTATACAGAAAACTATCATAAAAACATAACCCAACCGATAAGAATTTACTGGTAAGTTATAAATCTACTCGTGATTCGCATAATTGGGCGAGGGCGGCCAAATATCTAGCGGGCAGGCGGCTAACAGCCCAGAACCGGTCCTGGATAGAATTGGATGCGGTATACGAGTAACATCCACTCAAGGTCCTAGGCTTCCACCAGCTAAACCTGTTGAGGTTGGTGTTCTGTAAAGTGCATGCGCGAATCTGGCTTTTTGGAGGCTGACAATATAGCGCTTCCACTCCGCCACTAATATTCGAATATACAATAACAATCTTATTTTTTTTCACGTATAGTATAGAAATTTGTAATAAGTTAGATAATGCGGTTATAATAAAATATTGTGCGATTATTTTCATATAATTAAAATTAATATGTATTTATTTCTTAGAAAATACAAGGGAAGCGGCGCATCCACCGCTTCCAATGACGGCACGCGAGTTAACCAGGTTCCACTGTGTCTGATTTCCCGTTCACAGAAAACTCAGTATACGTTGCGAAAAATGTAACATTATGTTCTGTTTTATAAATGGAAATTCTGTTGCCATTAAATTTACAAGCTTTCTTTTTCACTTTTATTTTCAATTTTTCTGGCAAAACAAAAAAGTAAGGGTAATTTAAAATTAATTTTAATTTCTAATTGGTGGGGATATCTTTCGCCAGCGAAAAAGTTCGATAAGTGGGCTGCCAAGCGCGATTCGCTGAACAGGCATTCGTTAGAAACGTCACAACTGACACGAAATTCGCTATCAAATAGCGGTCCATGCGAACTAATCTGTAGCTTGTTACTAAATTTTATTCCCCCACCAATGTCGTAGCCAGTATTATTGGCACTCAGGCAAGATTCCGATTTCGCGTCCTCAAAAATTTTCTACTAGATATATTGAAATACAGTAGAACCTTCATTATCCAGACTAATTGGGGATGAAGGTAGTCTGGATAAGGAAAAATCCGGATAATCAAAACAAATACTTTAATTTGTCTTTTAATGATAATACAACACGTTTTCTTTTCGATGACATATCGGTAATATTAAAAATAAATACTGTATTTAAATCGTGATCAAATTTTCAAAAAACAAACGTTCGTATTGAATTTGTACTACTACTGCCAGCGCTAACAGACTACCTATTGTTTAAAAGGCGCAAGAAGACGGATTTTATAAAATAAAAAGCAGTTGAAACTGCATTTTTATGAATAAAAATTTGACAAACTATTTATCGTTTTATGACGAGTAAAATTTTTTCGTCGCGTTCTCGGCTTTTAAGTAATGCATAAACCTTCGAGGCGCGAGGCCCTTCGGACCGCGAGGTATAGGTGGTGGCCCACGTTGCCCGTGCCTTACGCCGCCCTTGGTTATAGAAATGATGTAATTTGAGTATAAATTATTTTATGCTTCTAACACAATAAAGTGCTATAAATTAAGACACTTGGCGGGTTTTCTCATCTTTATTTAGTCTCATCAACTAAATAAAGATGAGAAAACCCGCCAAGTGTCTTAATTTATAGCACTTTATTGTGTTAGAAGCATAAACAAATTGTAAAGCACGGTTTCATATCATCAAAATATAAATTATTTATAAATACGTATGTCAAGTTATATTTTTATTACGACACAAAATATATTTAAGGGTTTACGACCACTGTGCCGGGTGAGACGTTGTTGAAACAAAAAATGTTATGCATTCCATCACGTACATAAACAGTATCGTAATTCGCCGAGTGCAAATCAGCAAATTCGTAAAATTTTTGTTTATTTGGAACAATCCGGATAATAGAGGTCCGGATAATCGAGGTTCTACTATATTAATAATCGCTTCGTTGATTTTTCAGAATCGCTACGAGGTTTGCATCCATTTCACCAGGTCCTAGTTACGGTGCTGCCCCACCATATTTTTATTTCCATGACATTCTAGAAATTTCCGTGTTTTTTTCGGGATGGGGCTAGAGATGATATTTGACCATCAAATGGGGGAGATTTCTGATTTTCAAAACGCGAACGCGACTGCTTAAGTCGACTTTATGCTTGATTCTAATGTGCTTCCCAATTTTTGAGATCAGAAAAGTCCAAAGAGAAGAAAACATGTCATTAGAACACGAATTCTTTTTCACTAGTCTGCTGGAAATTTGTACTACTCTTTTTGACAATAAACTGTTTCTTGTTTGACAAATGGTCGTTCAAACTTTATTGAAAAGTCTATCAACAGGAATAAAAGTTGCAAGAATAGACAACTGTACATGTGCAGATTTACAAATGCCTTCAATTTCACAGGAAAACTTAATTATTTCAGAAAAACGTTTTTCCAATCCTTCAAAAAGTATCGAGTAAAATTTTACTCCATGTTAAAAAGTCTTGATATTTAACTGCTATCAATACATTGATCATGTCTCTAATATAATATACACTAAAGGCTTCTCCTGCTATAACCATATAAAATTCCTGGCACTCAAACAAGAAGTAAGAAGTTGAAATTTTCATTATACTGTACTAGGATATAACATTTAAATAACAACTTAAACGTAATTTTGTTGAATTATGATAATAGCTTCCTTTCACTCAATATATATATATATAAACTGTATATTCTTGATGAATTTCAGTCTTGATCTGTGGGTGCCTGAGATATAAAGCAAAATATGGCACACACACATACAGAAAAAAATGAACAAAATTTTGAACGAGTCTGGTTTTTTTTTTAATCAGAGGTCCTTTAACGTTAGAAATCCAAGTTAGAAGTATGTGAACGTAACTGCTGAGTTCTGTTCAAACAGCCTAGGCATGCATAGAGAATAAACACCCTCATTTATACCTAGAGATGTATTGAAGTGTTTGTTGGTACTGGTGCTCAGCAGAATTAAAACCGCACCTCCACAAAAAAACTTATGTGGTTGACTGGAAGCCAAATTAATTTCCTTGCAACCAGTATCCAGAAAAGGTTGCTTACTGATTTAAATAAAACAATTTGGAAAAGATCAGTTTAACAAAGACATTACTTTGGTATAAATAAATGATATTGCTTTTATTTAAATATCTTTTGATTAAATTCAAAAGCAACAAAAGTAATATTTTCTTATTTGTAGATTTATTATCAAATAATATAATGCATACAGTTATATTTTGAGTATTTCTAACAATAATAACCTTATATTTTGTTAGTAAGGGAACAATTTCTTCAAGCAAAATTTCTTTTTTACAATCTGTACAAGTATATACAACTTTTCGCTTAAGAAGGATAATATACAATCCCAATAAACTAAAATAAACTGATGATAAAATAGATTTAAAAACAAAATCTATGCAACAAATTACAAATGAAACATAATTATATACATACATAACATATATAAATTTCATCAATGATAATATATTAATTGATATAAAATGATGCAGAATAAAAAGCTGTTGTTGAGAAGTAAAAAATAAGAATAAAATCATTATCCACTATAATTTTAAAAGATGGACTTGGAATAGTTGTGTATATTTTTTTTACATGTTTTATATACAATATACACAGGTTTCACATTTGTTATATTTTCTATTACTATATAGAATATATATATGTATATATGTAATCTGTAACCAAGAATAATATACCTATTTAATTTGAAAAATAAATAAATTTCACATACATTCATTATATATCTCTTGTATGAGAATATTTCCACCATCTATTTATATATTTTGTTTCTAAACAAGAGATACAGTATTGCACTTTTTCACTAATCTATTGATATTATGTTTATTTTGACAAAAAACATTAAAATTTGATTACTTAAGATTTTTTCTTCTTTGAAAAGTCTTGTTTTGTTCCTTCTGAAACTTCAACGGGAATTACCCTATTAACAAATGATTAGTCAATGAATTCACAGAGGAATTCGATCGGTTTGTCTGACCAATTTCTTTTTACGGCATACTTTCAAAAATACCGTCGGTCAAAGGTCAGTGATAGAGTGGTCGTGACATCTCTTTTGCTTTTCCGCTGTTCTGTGTGGATTCTGTGTATGGAGGAGGAGGACCTTGAGCAACTGAACCCATTCCACTGTTATGAAAATTATTTTCAGGATACGGGGCTGGAATATTAGCATCCATCCATAACTATAAATAAAAATTTTATTAAATTTTCAATGTCATCATCATCAAAATTCAGTTCTATGAACTGATTAATACAGTAGAGTCAATTATCCGAATGTCGATCAACAAAAAGCGTTCCAGTCAGACTGTGTGCTAAATTGAACGTTTCTGATATTAGATTAACTTCTAAAGTATAATTTTTTTGTTTTTATATTTTTCAATATATTTATTTTGTTTGTACAAAATTAAAAAATAATTTTTAACGATACAATAGCCACGATTATTATAATAATTAGGCTTAACATCGACGAAAATTCAACACGAAACGACACACAACGGAGAAAATTTTAAACTTAGGATATATATTAATACACTATTATTGGGATATACAGTGGTACCTCAGGATACAAAATTAATCTGTTCCGAAACTGAGATCGTATCATAAAAATGTTGTAAGGTGAATCATTTTCCCCCATACGATTACATGTAAAACCAAATAATTCGTTCCAACACGAAAAACACACTCAAATTAAAGCTAAGTAGTATATTGAAAAAAACAATTATAGTAAGGAAAACACTGAAAAATGCGTTTTGTAATTGTAAATGTATAAATAACCATAATAGAATAATAATTGATTAAAAAAATGTAGTTTTGTTTGCACTTTAACTTTGAGGATAGACGACGGTGGCTGTGTAAACTGGTGGCGGAAGAGAGGGAGAAAGGAAATGATACTAAAACTAAACTTACATAACATTGTAACAATAACTTAGAAAAGATTAAAAAAATTAGTGTTGTTTTATATATATATTTTTTAATTTTTATTCACTGCTTTTTGCTTTCTTTCCTTCACTTCCACCAGCACTTTCACTGGATAAAGGTCACTTGGTAAAATATCTATCCAAAGAGCTACCAAAGAGTTTTTCTAAAATGACTTAGGCAAATGTCATTACTCCGAGTAGCAATACGGCCAGTGTGAATCTTTTTGGGATGTTTCTTTTCAATAAAATCAGCCACTTTCTGATAATACCTCAAGATTTCCTTTATCGAGCGAGATCCTTCCACGACGAAGCAAACACGTGGACTGAGACCAATGAACAGAAGTGAATAAAAAATGGCACTGCGAACTAATGTAACGTCATATGGTGAGTTTTTGTTCGTATCGTGGAGCAAAAATATGTTCGAATTTCATGTCATATCCTGAAAATTTCATACGCTGGGGCGTTCGTATCCTGAGGTACCACTGTACTAATATACTATAATGTCACGATTAATATACATAATTGGTTATCCGAAAAATCAATATTTTTCCCCTGAACAACCCCATCCCCAATTGATTCGGATAATCGACGCTCTACTATATTTAAATTGCTCAGACTGAATTTCATGCTATTAATTAGAATGTCCAAATTCTTAACTCAAAAAAATTCTAAACTTTAAATATTAAATCTAAATTACAAGCTTTGAAGAGATTACAACTCTATTTCCAACTACTATTTATTCACATATCATGTAGATAAGAGAGCAGTGTTTTTTCCCTCAATGTTTCCAATCTTGACAGTTATCTATGTTATCTATACAGTGTTAGATATTAAGAATGTTTATGCTATGAGGAGAGTTTCTGCATCTTTTGCATTTAGGAACAAACAATCTCCTGAACTTTTGTTTGAATACTTATATCTTTCCACAGATACTGCATATTTAGGCAATCTGATATTTCTAATTTCTTTAGCTTGGTTTCACAAGACTTCTGTATCCATCTCACTTGAGAAACAGGCTAGTGCCATGTTATTCTCAATCAAAAACTTCAGACTAGGAGGCGTTAAAAAGAATTAAGAGAAATATTTTAATCTTGCAAGCGCTTTCAACGTAAATATGTACGTCATCTTCAGGCAATTCAAAATTGAATAGAGAATTCGAACAGAACATTTAAATTTAATCATTAACAATATTAGCCGTTTTTTGGAATATTGTATATTAAAAATGAGATTTAAATTTTAGAATTAAAAACATTTAAAATTGGCACACATGCGTTTTAAAACAAATAAGCCCTGATTGGAATGGCTATTAATTAAGATCATTGAAATTAAGAAGCCTTTTTTGTAAACGCAAAAAATTGGCGCGCGTGCACCTTAACACGCATAACATAAGAGCCAATTAGAATGGCTATTAAGAACAAGTAAATTTTAGATAATAAATTAAAAACATTTTATAAATACGTATAAAATTTGGCATGCATGTGCCTTAACAAAGACAGCATAGAAACCGATCGGAATAGAGCCATAAGTGCAAGTTTACATTAAAATTTAAATATAAAAGTGTGGGACATAATTTAAAATACATAAAACACTTGTAACATATAAAAAAAAGATGCACATAAAGAGGCCGACGCGTATGTGCCTTGAACCACACAAGAGGTGCGGGAAATGAGTGTAGAATTATTATCGATTTTTTAAACGCCTGTATAAATTAATCCAGACGTCCAGTAAGTCGAGGGTAGGGGAGTTGCATGGGCAGAGCAGTTTTGTGAGGAGGGTCTCCCAAATATATAGCAAGCTCCCTTCATCATGCTGCAGACCAGATCACATTTCACTAGATAACTCTTAAGCAGGTGTCTTAATAGTAACTATCACTAAAAGTTAACTAGTAGTTGGCAATCAATGTGTTTAAATTAATTATGATTTATTTTTGTTTGTCTGAAATATTCAACAGAAAAACAAATAAATCTGGTTAATATAGACAAAAGTATATTGTATATTTAAAAATAAAGTAGATGAATTTTCTATCAATAGTTCACGACAATTTCATTTGTTGATAATACTCGACTATCAATATTATCAACAGCTTAACAGTCCCAAATGAAGTTTTGTTACTGTTAAGCTTTCAAGCAGTAATAATTATTATTTTATCATAAAATAGATATAGATAAATTTAAAAGATCAAAAAAATAATCTGTTTTTAATATTCTACATAATAATGTAATTTTTTTTCAGAAAACATATCAATACTTACACTTATGCTACCTGCTCTATTATCATCTGTTTTCTCTTCTGAAGGAAATACAGCAAAATTTTGCAATACAACATAATGGTTGTTATCATAACAATATCGAAAAAAGCCTCCACATGCTGACAACATCAGAATTAGAAAAACAACTCCTACCCTAAAAAGACAATTAATTACATTAAATTAAGACTTGTTTTCAGAGATAACACTATCTTTTTGAATTATTAATATATTCCAATATTTTGTATTCTGTAATTTTATAGTTCACAATAATTATTTTTATATTAATTTAAGAAAATACAGTCAAATCTTGGTTTTTACACATAATTTTTCCAAAAAGTTGTTCTAAAACCAAAACAAATTTTTTCGTAAAAAACAATATAAAATAGATTAATCCATTCCCAATCCCCAAAATAAAGGCTTTTTTTTTTACTGTTTTTAGCTGTATTTTATGCTAAAAATGCCACAAATGCAATGTAATATTGTATACAACAGGTCGACAATGCAGTGCCCATGGGCACCATTTCAGATGTTCCCTCTAGAACCATAGTCATGCAAGTAGTACAAATATATATACTTATAATTTAATTTAATTTAGTGATATTTTAAGTATGTACTTTTAATTTTTATTTTTTAGTTATTACATGTATGTATAATCTTTATTTTATATAAATATATATATATATAAAAACAATTACTTTGCTTATTCATTACGACATAGTTTAATTTTGGAAAAAAAAATCACAATGTACCCTCGATAGTTTTTAAAATTTTTATTGCATCCTTAGCAAAATGGTTGCCAATCCCTAGTATATAATATAATACTGTATAATAAATTTTTGTTATTTAATTTGACTTAAGCACCTTTAAAGATGAATTCTTGGATACCATTTATATTACATGAACCCACTTAAATTATCTCAGCTTAAATGACCAGTTAATATTGGCTTTGTATAAAATTTGAGAGGAAGATGTTATTTTTAAGGTCAGGGTAAACTGTCAATGTAGCCCACACTGACTAACTACTACAACTAGTACTAATGTCAATAAGACATTAATTGTTTTATTGTCCTGTAAAAGAAAACTCTCTTCCTGATTTTAAGTTGATCAAATTACAATGTTAGTTTTTTATTGTACTTGGAAAAAATGTTTTGAAGTTTGAATAAATAAATTTAATTTTGTTTTTCTGTCAGTGAGGAGGGCTTAAGTTCCTGTGGCTCTCTCCCTGGATCTGCCACTGCACTTGTCCCTGTTTCAGCACATGATTACTGCATAATTAAGCTGTGTGAAAATGGATTTTCTTTTAATATTGGAAACAGGTTGTCATTATGCACAATTAGTATTTGTGCCATTTAAACTGCCACAGAAGATTTCAGATTGTTTCTTCCATATATGTCTGGATATTGTCATGAAAATGCATTATGCTAGTGTTCAAAATATCACAAAAAATGCCTCTTTATGGTCTTCCTCAATTTTCTTACCATATTTTTGCAGATTGACTGGCATGCTGCATATAACCAGGAGAAACCAGCATGCCAAAAACCCCAGGGCCAGTTAAACTGCGATTAAGAAATAAAATTAATCAGATTTAACAAAACTACTTGTTAATTAAATTTTAATTAACAAGTAGTTTTGTACTCAGAAGACATACCCAAAGGAAGTTAGATCCTCCCTTTGAGTATGTCTGGATCCACTACCAGACAAATGATTTAATCACAAAGAAATTCTTTGTGAATGTAAAAAAGTAATGCTGATTGGATATTACACAATACATGTTTCAGGGTGAACCAAAGTTCCTGGACACTGGCAACATTTTTGTGAAAAAAAGATCTCTAGTACTGGCAACACTTCTGTGAATGCAAACAAGATGGTATCTGCATCATTCTCAAAGCACATACTATCATTTTATAGAGCTGTTAAATTCATTCCTTTAGTAAATATTGTTTTCCAAGAAAGGAATGATTGATGAAAAACTCATCCTTCAAGGCATCTTGCATCATTACTGGAAACAAGGAATGGAAGCAAAGAAAATTTGTGAAATTGAAGGCCCAGACCTGAGGAGCAAGACAATTACAGCTGAATGGTTCTGCCGTATCAACTCTGAGAACACCAGTTTTGTAGATAAGTCTCAGCCTGGACTAATTGACCATTCTTCTTCTTCTTTATGTGCCCTGTCCTCCAAAAACGTTGGCAACCAGTCTCATGACTTTGAATTTGTTGTTAGCTGATTTGAATAGTGATCTGGTACTAATCCCATATCATTGTAAATTTTTGAGCCAGGATGTTCTTCTTCTGCCTGGGCTGCATTTACCTTTGACTTTACCTCGAATTATTATTTGTAATAGATGATATTTTTCATTTCTCATTTCTCATAATGTGGCCAAAATATTCCAGTTTCCTTTTCTTGATGGCATCTATTATTTCTGTTTGCTTGTTCACTAGCCTTAATATTTCTGTGTTGGTTTTCTTTGCTGTCCATGGGATCCTTAGCACTCTCCTGTACATCCACATTTCGAAAGCTTTGAGCTTACTACACATTGTCTTCGTTAGAGTCCAAGTCTCCGCACTGTACAACAGAACACTAAAAACGTAGCATCTAAGCAGTCGTAGTCAAAGCTGTATTTGCATATCTCTTGTGGTAAAGATCCTCTGTAATTTTATGAAAGTGCATCTTGCTTGTTCAATTCTGCATTTAATTTCTTTTGCATTGTCCCAATTTTCATTAACGAAACAGCCCAGATATTTGTAACTTGTCACTTTATCAATAACAGCACCATCAATTACAAGTGTGCCTTGGCTTTGGTTGCACTGGTTTTTGTTTATCACCATCCACTTCGTTTTTTTGATATTCAGTCGCAATTCATAGTCAAGACTCTTGGACGCAATCACATTTGCTAACACTTGCAGTTCATCTAAACTGGTGGCTAATAATACGGTATCATCTGCGTATCTTAGGTTATTAATTGGAACACCATTAACTATTACTCCATTGTTGTAATCTACAAGAACCTCATGGATTATGTCCTCTGAGCATAGGTTGAAGAACAATGGTGAGAGAACGCAGCCTTGTCTTACTCCCTTCAAAATTTGGATTTCCTCTGTCATACTACCCTCCACACAAACTGAGGCCCTTGATTCCAGTAAAGGTTTGCGATGAGATGGATATCTCTGCCATCGAGTCCTAAGTTCATTAAAATTTTCATCAACCTGCCGTGCTTTATCGCGTCGAATGCCTTTTCATAATCCAAGAAACAGGCGAATACATCTACGTTGACATCTCGACATCTTTGAACCAATACTTGGATGCTAAAGAACGCTTCTCGTGTGCCGAAACCATTTCTGAATCCAAATTGTGTATTGCTTAATGTCCCTTCGCACCTTTTATAAATAATTGACCATTGATGGCTAAGAATTGCTTCAAGCTCATCAACAAGAACCAGGCAGCAACACTCACTGACTGTCTGCTGAACTCAGGATTTCAGAATCAACCAACCATTATTTGGCATTTGAAACACCTTGGCTTTCATGGCAGAACTCAAGATGTACTGTACCCCATGAACTGATAGAGCAGCAAGCACAAAGGGGGATACTTGTTTACAATCATACATTCCAAAAGCCAAAAGACAACAAATTCTGGTGCGGGATTGTAACAGATGACAAAAAATTAGTCTTTTTCAGAAATCCTAATAGAGGAAACTAGTGGCTCTGATCAGATGACATGCTAGCACAAAAGGTTCAACAAGAACAATTTGAATGAAAAGTTATGCTGAACATTTGGTAGAATTTGGATGGTCCAGGGAATTGATTCCTAATGATGGCCATGGATGGCAACAGCCATGCTGAGCGACTGGAATGAACGTTTGAAGTCCTGCATACTCACTATCCAGCATTGTTTAATCAAAATGCACACACTGCTGCAGCATGATAATGCTCTGGTGCACCATTCCAGAATGGTTCAAGAAAAGTTAGAGGAGCTGAAAAGAATTAAAATTTTGCCACACCCAGCATACAGCCTTGACCTCACTCCATCAGATTTTCACTCTTCTGGTTTGCATATTTTCCATGAAGACGTTTCTTCAATACAATGTATGATGTTGACTATGGGGTTTGTGAGTTTTTGGCATTGAAACAGCCAAGTAGTATCACTGAGAAATCTGCCAACTTGCAGAAAGACGGGTCAAGAGAATAGCTAACAACGGCCTTTATTTTGAGGAATGACAATGTCTCTGTGTTCAATATTGTGTCTATTCCAGGAACTTTTGAATTAATCTGATATTCAAGTTTTATTTTTACATATGGGTATTATAATGTTTATCCTGTTTAACCATTATAATTTCTTTCAATTACAAAAACAGTCAGTTTTGTTTAATTTTTGTAAAAATAAGTTGTCTTATTGGTTGGTAATTTTGTAATTTTTCTGAACTGGGTAGATCAATGATAATCAATAGAAACCCTTCCTTCAGTGGTTCAAGAAATGAGAGAATTTTAATTATGATAGCCATCTCATAGAACCATACAGAAGCAGGATTTATAAATATATGAGTGTGTAATCAAATTCTTTATTGAGGAACTGTTCACTAACAAGAATTTTAATCTGCAATAAAGCTGAGTGAATTATTTTATGGCTTGTGAATAATAGCAATGTGGATCTGTTTTAGATATTTTATAAAATTTTACTTTTTAATCAATTTCATTTTAATTATTTAAATTAATTTAAATTGATAATGCATTAATATAGGGCAATGCTATTCATTAATTCAAATTTTAGAGATTTATACTGATAATATTTATTGACTGTATAACTACAGTCAATAAAATCATTAAGATAGAGTTATGGTTAATATTAATTTAATTACGTAAACTTTGTTCCTACATTAACAAAATGGAGTATTTTTAACATTAATGAGCATTTTATTTTAACACTAAAATGCAATTATAAAAATACAAAGAAATGTACAAATATAGTAGATATTTTAAAGTAAAAATTTCAACAGATCTATTAGAATTCAATTAATTTTTTTCCTAAATTTATTACAGTACTTTAATAATTTTAAATATAAAATATATATACTAACCAAAAGTACCAAAGGGAATACACATAATCACAACAAAGATTATCTCCACAGCAATATTGCTCATCTCCACATCTAATAATAAATCAAAAGAATTAAGTATATTTAATTTTTGTAAGAAAAAAAATCTCTTAGAAAAATTTAATTTAAATATACTTACAAATTATGGTTACAGTAATAAGCAGTAACCTAAAATAAATATAAATATAACTTAAAATATATTCAAAAATGAAAAATGTATTTACAAAACAAAACATTAACAAAATGTTAATATACAGGTATCCCTCGTATAACATGGTAATTACATTCTGAAAGTGCCATATTATGCAAATCCATTCTATACAAAACAAAGGACTAATGCAAAACGTAGTGTTACGTTCCATAAGTTAGCAAAAGTATACTATTATTTTTCATTACTAAGAAAAATATGTTTATTAAAGCAATCAACATTTTATTTCTAATCAATAATTAATTAACAATCACAATTAAAAGTACTGTATTATGTGTTAATATTAATTTTAGTTAAACCAGGCATTTTTCTTTTACAAAGTATCATCACCATCTCAGCTTTTTTGTTGGCCTTGATCAGAAGTATCAGCAACATTTTCATATTTTTTATTTTTATCATAAAAAATTTTTATAGATGATGAAATAAAAATATGTTGATCAAAAGTTGTAGCAGCGGATCACATTTGTTCAGTTGAGTACTGAGACTTTTTCCAGAATTTGTTCAAATACCAAATTGTTTAAGTTATATACTGCCATATTTCATTCATCATTTTTCCAAACAAAATATCTACAGTTATAAAAAGATAAGTAATACTTATGGTTAAAAAAGTTTAGCAACACTTACTTAAAAATGTTTAAATAAACTTTACTAAATACAAAGATTAATCTATAAAAACAAAACACAGTGACAGTCTTAAAGGCTAAAATCTAAAAGTAACCACAATGACACCTGGTTGATAGAAAAGTTAGTGCAATTTTTTCTTCCTTGTCCTATCAGTTTTCATTAAAGTAAATCTGACAAAAAGCATAAAATAATTTGAAAATTTCAATATTCTAAAATTCATAGGCAAATTTGAGACAACATGCATTCTTACTTGAATAATAATAAAAAATATTGAATAACCAAGTTTACACTTAAAAATTGTGAAATTCTGTACAGAAAATTTCTAAACTGTGTTAGAGTGAAACTGGAAGTCATGTTATACAGAGGATATCCCAATTTTCAGTGTTAGTGAGAAACAATGTTGTACAAGGGATACTTGTACTTATAATCTAAATTTTAATACAAGTATATATTTTCAGCAATAATAATAAACTTCTTTATGTATAAACTAGCTTACCCGTCGCGCATTGCTGCGATCTCAGAAGAAAGGAAATTTAAGCAAACTCGTCATGACAAAATTCAATTTACATTTTATAATTTTTATTAAAACTTATTAATATTACATTATTATTTCGAGTCGATATTAAAATTTGGAAAAGGGGGGATACCTAGATCGGTAAAATACGTGAATTTCCTCCTACAACTTCGGTTGTTGTTCGGGGGTACAGTTGAGGTTTTAACGAAGTTCGAGCGAATACATAATTAGCAAAAAAGAAAGTTGAAATAAAGTGATTAAACAAAAATTATTACAAATATCGTAAATAACAGTTCACAAATGCATATATAGAGATATTTTTTGAAGGGAGGAAATGGTCTTCACAATTTGAAATCGATCAAACACACTGTGCTTGAATGCTCGTGTAAACGCACGCCATCTGTCGTAGGATAAATGTACTATGCCAAAAACCTTCGTGGGAGTGTATTAAAAAACTTTCCGAAGTTTTATGGCAATCGTACTATGCCACAAACCTTCGCTGGAGTATATTAAACAACTTCCCAAAGTTTCACGGCAATCGGATAAACGGTGTGGTAATGCATGAAGGACACACACACATTCATTTTTATATATATAGATTATTCATATAATTTGACTAGTATGAAATAGTTTACAAATAAATACAATTGTGCTAACTGAATAAATATGAACTAATGATGTATAAAACATTCTCAAATAAAATTATAAATTACTGTTGATTAGTAAAACACTCAAGTTCTGAAGAAACTAGAAATTTTTATATATATACATGAAGAAAGTTTAATGTTTTTAGAATGTTTGAATCAATTTTTTAAATCAGTTATTCTTATCCAACTTAATTTCTTCTTATAATCAGGGATGCACAACCTTTTGTGAAGAAGAGCCAAATTAGGATTAAGTTTACTGACTGGGGGCCGGACCT